TATATATATATATATATATATATATATATATATATACATATATCTTTTTTTTAAGAATTACTCACCACTGTATCTTGATGACCGATGTCAGCGCCATGTTTCAGTAGCAATTCCACAACATCCAGATGACCCTCCGCCGCTGCTCTTTGCAATGGCGTCACGCCCGACTGTAAGAAAATGAAGATGACGATGATAATGAGAGGCTGGATAAAAACTTTGATATTACCGGCGATCCTGCACGGTGGAATAATTATATTTTGACGGGTGATTAACCCAGTTTGTACAGGAATCATTAAACTTGACTCTGACGTGTCATTAATATATCTTACGACGCCCGGGCGTGTCTACTCGTGTATCTAGTCTTCCGAGGACCCTGTTTGTGATGTCCGTTTTCTTTTATTTATCAAGTTTCATCACGGTACCGGTAAACGTAGACTTCGAAGATGACGTCGAGCTCTTCTTAAACATTTAATACGACTGGAAACGTGTTCGAAGTACTCATGCTGAGGTGCCTGCTTATAATTAATATTGAACGTCGATCAGCAGGATGTTCTATAGATTTGTAAAATTGTGCAATTGAAACTTGGAGAAAAAAAGCAGTAGCTACGTCTTTCTGAAGAACCAAGCGTACAGAGTCACGGTTGTGATTCACCGTTGTGGTAATGTGACGCCAACTCTTTTTAACGAGTGATACAAGCAAAGTTGTTTATATTAGGTGTACAAATTAATTCTCCGCGGTTTTTTGCATAATTTGTATGTTTGTTTTAAAAAAAAGAACGAACAATTACCTAACCTTCAACAAATCTACATTACTTTCTACATATTTCAGGCAACTGTCAGGCAATACGTTGGATGTATTCTATCATTTTTTTTTCTTCCAATTTTAACGGCCACCCGGTATCGAAAGAGGGTTGGTCTGTCTGTCCATCCATTAGAAAACGACGGGGTGCGATATCGTGGTGTGTGTATATATATATATAGAAAGCTATGCTATTCGAAAGATACGAGAGGAAGAAAAGCAAAGAAAAATAATATTATATACAGGAGTTACATCCAGGCTTTGGTTAGCGTCAAAAATGACTTCCTTCGTGTTCAGTGATACGATCATCAGTCAAGCCGTGAGTTCTATTCGAAATCGATGCGTTATATGCTTTGTTTAGGGTTAGGATAGGACCTCCTTTAACCGTAGTGCCATAAATCAAGAGATACCATAATACCGAAGGATATCTCATTAGCTGACCAATACCGATATTCCATAAACGTATCTTTAAGGTTAGAGACAAAAATCATTCTTAACCTATTGATCTGAGTCATTAGTCCAGGAAAATAAGTGGAATCACTTAGGGCGGTTATGAAATTTTTTAAAAATGCTGCCAACCTTGACCTTGACTTTAACTAATATTAAAATATTAAAAAAAATTGTTCACAATTACGATAACGATTACACGTAGATGAAAAAAAAAGAGTAGGAATTCATAATTATTTGTGTCGTCAGTTGGGGAATTTTTTTCCTTGACTTTTTTTTTTATTTACAGTCACTTCGTCGCTTAGGTAGTCATTTTCGGCATTGACCACAAACTACATACATTGCCAGTACAAAGAAGCCATTTCAAGAGAATTATCCCAATCCACGACTTGGTAACTGTTAATTAAACGACTGCGGTTGCCAACCGCAAAGATTGCGTTATTACTATTATTGTTATTGTGTGTAGTATACGTGTAAGTAAGCGTCAGTATACAATAATTTAAAAAGTATACCGAAAAAGTTCGGTTAGTCACGATTTCCAAGTTTTTTCGTGAAAATAATAAACCCTTACTCACAATGTAAGATAATAAATCCTTCTCTGTTGCGAGAAACGTGATAAATCCACTGGCTTATTAATTAGTGAAAATCGTGATGGAAAGACAGACATTTAAACTATATTGTATATTCGCTTGATATCCAGCTGCGATACAAATCGGTACCCGAAATTACACAGCGTGAGGTCTAATGGTCCAGACTTAAAAAAAATCTACAAATTGAGAAAAGATCTAGACAGTTTGAGATTTAGTATAAAATGTGCCTATTAAAATTAATATTATAACTGCACGTGCCTTACGGAACCAATAAAATTTTTTTCAACCAGTTAAAATTTCGAAAACGGTCATCATCATTGAATTATTTTCCACATAATTGGACATCTAATTTTTGCTAGTTGACAAAAATTGCCTGTTGTTGTAATTATAAAAAATGTTGTATATTAATATACAACGTGTTTCCTGCAACGAAAAAAAAAAAAAGTTATCGAGTGTCACCAGTGAAAGCCATTTGATAAAATCTCAAGCAAGGTACTTTTTTATTTTTTTTTCTTCGACACCATATTTTTTACACCCGGACAGGATTCGCCGTCCGGATTGGATAATAGCAGACGTGACAGATGAAGGTCGACCTTTTCCGCGTACTTTTCTTAATCATCTCATCAGAGTGGATTCTCCAGATTGATCATTCTCTTATGCCCAGCCTTTTACTCTCTCATGTGCTACCGATATCTCGCTTCCTTACGCCAGTCTGAAACTACTTGGCTGGAATTAGAATTGCCAAAGGAATTGGCTGACTGGCCGTCCGAAGAATCTCGAGATTCCCGCGTGCAGATACTTGTGAAACCGGTGTCGGGCGTTGCGTTTGCGTCGAGCGTTCCAATACTTTGATTCTTTGCTGTTTTTTTAAATCCGTATGCAGATATGTATGGTTCAGTCTCCCTTCTCCCTCTCTCTACGTCTTTGCCCCCCCCTCTCTCTCTCTCTCTCTCTCTCGTTCTCTCTCTCTCTCTCTACCTACGTCTCATATAAATACCGACGAAGCTGCCGAGCAATTTTCAGTCTCTCGAACGACATGTCGAAAGTACGGGGATTTCGTTCTCTCTCTCTCTCTCTACCTACGTCAATCCGTATGCAGATATGTATGGTTCAGTCTCCCTTCTCCCTCTCTCTACGTCTTTGCCCCCCCCTCTCTCTCTCTCTCTCTCTCGTTCTCTCTCTCTCTCTCTACCTACGTCTCATATAAATACCGACGAAGCTGCCGAGCAATTTTCAGTCTCTCGAACGACATGTCGAAAGTACGGGGATTCCTAATGGCGACGATGGTTCTGTCGGCCGTGACTTTTGCACGTAAGAGAAATGAAAAATTTATTAATTTTATATAACAATATCGAATCGTTGAAATTATCAATTTTAATCGTTTTTTATTATTATATATTTTTATTCTTACAGAGGACTGCAGATCGCCTACCGATCTACCGGGACAATGCATTTCGATTTACGACTGTCCGACGATCATCAGACTGATACAGGCTGTACCACTGCGTCCGATTGATAAGGAATTTATACGAAAATCACAGTGCGGTTCACTTGGTAGGGGAATACCAAAAGTGTGCTGTGTGGCCGACGATTTATTTTTAAGAAGTTTACTGTCGTAGTTATGAATATTTTTATTGTGTACGGATTTGGTACATATAGGTATACTGTTATACGTATAAATTGGTCGGTAAACTAGGGAATTACTTGCTAAGGGTAGTTTCGATGCGAGAGGTGAAAGACTCGATACTTGAATCGATCGTCATATTGAACTAAAAGTGTGAGACGTTCGTCACGATGATATCAAGGCTATTTTACAAGCATGAATATCGATTTTATATGTTTTCTCATCTGTCGACTTCACCCTTGGGGTAGCTACCCTTAACAGACCGTGTGGCCTAACGGATAAGGCGTCGGACTTCGGATCCGAAGATTGCAGGTTCGAATCCTGTCACGGTCGTCAAATTTTTTAGGTCAAAATTTGAAAATTCGTGACATTCAGCATGACTGCGTTTATACGTTTATTTGAATTTCGATGACACGTGAATTACTGTTTATCTATAGCAATGCTGATTAAAGAAGTCATTTATCAAAGACTGAATGATATGAGATTCGTGTTGTTGGTGTTAACTATGTTTTCAATAAAATCACTTCAGACCTCACGAATTGTATATAGAAATTTTTTTCAAGCATTCTCAATACAACGTAGATTTATCGTAGGGCAATTTGTTTTCATCCCATCGTGTCTTGCTGCGAGCGAAGGGAATAAACGGGAGGGTTATCTATGTTAACCAGCAGCCAGGATCTCTGTTTAGGTAAAAAAAAAATAATGTCAGAGAGTGAGGTTCTGAGAATTCTTAATTAGAAGCCATACATAATGCTCCTTAAATATGACCACTATTTTTATAATAATTTTCATTAACTACTTTTATGTTTCATACTCCCTTAAATTAATAACTATAATCAAAATGTCAGTAAAATAAAAGTATAATGCAGTTGGAACCTAACTGTCCCGTATATCTATACATACATAGAACGTATATCCATTGTACGAAGAGTAATTTAGTATAAATACTTGTTGTATAGAATGACCAGGTAAGAATAGATAACAGTACTATCTATGTTAAATAATGGAAATAATCACACAGAGAATCAAAGGGAACAAGTTGGATAATACAGAGTGGAGTAATACATAAAGAGAGTAATGGAGTATAACCGCTCCCCATAGAGCATGAGAATATCAAAAAGGAATAAAGATAGTAGGATAATGTACAAAAGGAGAATTCGAGATATAGGAGTAAGAGAACGCGTCTCTAGTTGACCCATGACCGGAAGTGTACGTGCAGGCTCGAAGAATCGCGAGAAACGTGGCGTACATGGTTATACGGTGTTTTATCGCGATGCAGCATGGGACTCGGGAGAAGGAAGGAAGGAATAATGAAAAGGAAGTAAATAAAAGGATTAAAAGATATTACGACGTAGAACGTACATATATAAAGGACGGGAGTATGAGTTTCTTAGGGCTACCTACGATAAATCAATGCGTGGGCGGTCGCACCACGTCATTTCCGTTTATTTACATAGAGTTCGCAGTACCGACGAATCCCTATAATTAAATCCATTGGCAGTTAAGTCGCGTCATAATTATTATCTACTCATTTACGAGCGAACTTTTCGAATGTTCCTTCGGCAAAATCATTGTATCATCGTAAAAGTCTCGCGGGAATTATTTTTCATGATTTCATCCACGTAGAGATATAAATAATACCTGTTTGTTATGAGCCGCCGGTACGTGTCAGATGAAAAATTGTATGTATTTTCATTCACTATTTTAGTTCTCGACGCATCGTTAGTTCGACGAACTAACGCAACTGGTTGAGTGGCGCTCGGTATGATGCCGGCGATCAACCTGGAAAATTGTCCCTAGAAAAGGCGTATCGTGAAGCCTGGATCAGTCTGGGGTAATTATTGACTCACGTGAGACCGTTGTGTACGGGTTCATGATGCATTTCTACGTGAATGTATACGGTTTCTGACGTGTGGTGTACTAACGTGTAGTGCGTGTAGGTGATGAAATAGCTCAAGGATCATTTTTTCTAATGCAAGCGGCACGGTGGAATCCTCTCATTACCTGGATGAGGAACATTTAGTTGAGCACCTATGTGTAGGAGGCCTTGGCTCTGACACCACAAATTACAATCATCCCGACAGATTACACCGAAGTATATCCTATACGGCCGGCGTCCTTTGCATTAATGAGCAAACTAGCACGATTAAAGGGCTGAGTATGACATTTAGTTAAAATTGCTTCCGGCTCCGCCTGCTCGTCTAAGCACTACTTCCACTAGATTTATTTCTTTTATTTACCGTCCTTCTTGTCTCTGTTCATCGTGTCCGAAAAAAGCGTTGTCACATAAACCGCGATCTCGTAAATCGCTACGAGAATAATACTAACCTATTATCGATTTGATATGAATTACTAGCATATTTTATGAGGCAAAATTTACCGAGTGAACTTGGGATATTTGCACGAGGTGATCATTAAAATTATCGTTATTTTTGTAATAAAACATAGTTAAGTCAGTTCTATTATTCTAGTATTTCTGTTGAGTCCTCCAGGACGCAGGGCGGACTGTGTTGAAAGTGGAGAAAGGCCTAATCGTAGAAAATACCTTCCTGGTACGATAAACCCGATTAAACCGTGGCAAGTCGTGACTGCACTATGGATTGTTACCAGGATAAATCGTTCCTAAGCATCTCTACTAAGGTTAGCCGATTCGAGATTATAATTGCTTATTAAACTAGATCCGTATCACGTCTAAACAGTAACTAATTACACGTGAATGACTTGTGAATGAAAAGTATCGTCTCGGTACGAATAATGGGTTCCATTTTACATATAAAGACCGAAGATATAATACGGTACCGTATCTATACTATAGCATCGTAATACTAATACAATACTTGAGAACAAGAATCACTAATTGTAAGGATCTAATGATTCTACCGTGAGTCATTGTTCAGAGAAGATTGAAAAATGTATATGGAACACTGAAATATAGGTATACTGGAAGGCGTACGTTGTATTCGGAGGCAGCCCTGTAATGTCCCTACTATGTCACTCACGCTCTGTGGTGAGCTGTTCTTTTCAAATTGAATTGCGCTGTGGTGTACGGACCCAGCAAGAATATTGGGCTGCCCACATTTAAGTGCCGAAAAAACGTATGTAAACGTCACTTGCACGTCGTAGCATTTTGAATTTAATTAAATTTCATTTGCGCATAACTTTCTCAGACGTACAATGTCCAGACAGTACTACCTAATCTTCCCCTTAAGCAATACCTATTCTCAGTGTTAACTTTATGAGCGACTAGACAGCGCGCGACGTAGCCAACATACTGCATTGGCCTATTTTCAGGCTGTCTCTCTCTCTCTACGTGGCTCCTACGCGTTCCAGCATGGTTCTAGTTCAGCTATATGAAATTATGAAGCGTCGCCATCTGACGTTAACCGCTGGGAACTACTGGTACCTTAATCTAACATCAACTCTGACTTCTATTACGTGACAAAGGTGGCTGCCGGTAAGAACGTGATTCAAAGCTTTCTTACTTGGAAATACTTTATGCTTTAACCCAGTAACTCATCCTTAAGTGTTTACGTGCCACGATTAAGATCCGTCTTAGCAAGCATCCTGATAACCCTATTAATTAGTCAATCTCCTTGAGTACTAGGTGTTAGTTGCTCAACGTGCTCTAAAGGTGCCGTAAATTCATTTTCTCCCCGTTTCTGTCAGTTATCCATATGCAGGTATATGCATGCCTGCTATAAGCCACGGCGGCTTAACCTTATATAATAAATACCTATGGACGTGTACACGTGTATATATATACATACTATTGACTTCTTAGAAATCCTGTAAAAGCATCTCCGCCGAGTCCCAGAGTACGGTGCGATTAATTAACGTTCCTCCCCCCCTGCTCACCATGTATAAGCCCCCGTATGTAATTCACTTATATTGATATGCTCATACCGAATGCACATAATTAGATATATTTCTATTAATCTCTTTCCCTCAGGACTCATCAAGAACTTGCCGAACGGCTTCAAGACATTAAGACGTCTCGCATTGGACATTAGTACTCACAAGGCGTTATATATCTATATTCACACGTGCTCGTACGTCGTGTACAGGTATACTGGTAAGTATAGGGTTAGTCGATTTTCTGAGATCGATGATAAATGAGTGTAAAAAAATGCAGGCGTGTTTAACGCCATGCAATTAGTTTCCACCGATTGAGCAGAACCACGAGGCCAATGAGGGACGTCGCTGGAGCAAGGCGAATTTGCATGTGGTCGATTAACGCGACGTTATTGATAGGACAGGCGTGATGGGAAGAACGATGATTCTCGAAGGTTAGTACGCGAGGGGTAAAGTAACACTTTATAAATGAGCGTCAAAAGGTTTGAAGATGATCGTCGGTCCTTTGAAGATGCTGTGACAGGATATTATCATTATTGCATACTCAAATTGGTGGGGCCTGGATAAATGATCTAAGAAGGTACACCGATCACGTGATAATCCGAGGATAAATGATAAATTTAAATTTTTTATTTTTTATAACGCGCCCTCCACACCGCGGAGAGCCATGCTGGGGAATTTTAATTGTTTATCGATGATCTTCATCTCCGTGGGGAAGACGAGACTTAATTACACGATATTTTACGAGAATTACGCAGCCTCCGGCTTGGCGCATGCGCGTATCCTATGTATGTACGATCGCCACGTACAAACGATCGAACAATAATCGAAATCGTTCTCGAAATGGCGCGAGCACGCGAGCGCATTAAATCGCACCGAATGAATTCCATTCCGCTTGTCTCCCGGATATACCGATCTGACGATCTTGCCTGCCGATCGATTATTGCGCACACGCCGTGTGGCTTCGATTTCTCGGACTCTTTCCACCTGTAGTATCTCCTTTCAACCCTCTTTGCTTACACGGCACCTTTTTCTTCTTCTCGCGATCTCACCACGACCGACCGCGAACCACTCTGTCGGGATTATGCACGCTAATTCCACGCCGTCGTGGCAGGAACACGCACTTTAATGGAGCCCCGGCAACTCGTAATCTCCTCCCTTCCTTTTTTCACTCTTTGCTGCCGTTGTTTCCGTCCTTCTTTTTTTTTAACCAACGAAAGGTTCTTTCAAGTGGCGCCGACGGTGTAATGCCTTCGAATTTAGGAAAATAAGGGAATAATCGGAGCTTGCCAAAGGATACAGAAGTTTATGAGATAATTTGACTCGTAAAGTTATAAAATATTGTTCCCATTTTTTTTTTTTTCTTCAAGTTATGCAATGCGTACATTACGCTAGACACATGGACTACATTTACACCCCTATAAATCGTAGGGCAACGCTGCTTCTGAAACTAGATTCTGGTACATCCACAGTATCTAGAGTTACCAACTATAAATAACTAATAACAAAAAAAATATGCTATCGCACCGGTAGCATGGTATAGGACAAGAATACCATGGCTAACTCAGAACGAACTATGGTGCTTGCAATGGTGGAAGCACACCAGTCAAACGGGTATCATTGTTCCAAGCATAAACTTACCAACATCAGCATACGTGTCCGTAACCATATATATGAATATATATATATATATATATCTATATACGAGTATAGATACATAGAAGAAAATCCTGTACAGTCGCTGAAGAAAGAACATCAACCGATTCAGCTTGGTCTAAGAAAGTATAACGAAAAGTTTATCAGCCTTGTATAAAACTTACTCGCGTTACTGTACTATATAGGTACACAATTTTTCGCCGGATTCTCCAGAAACTCGTCGTATAAATTCGAGATATTTATACGATCGTTTGAAAATACCCCAATGCGCTCTTTCGCTCCCGCGTCCACTTATTTTTATATACCGTCCCCCCCATCGCGTCCCCTCTTCTGCTATTATCACCATATGGGAGCAACGATTCTCCACGTCTCTTCGCCATTTGCATGATTTTCGAATTAAAAGGTAATACGCGGCGAATTCCATAAGACGTCTCAATTTCATGGCGGCGTGACTATAGCCATGATACTTGTAAGGTAACATATGAAAGTCCTAAGGAATAAACGATTGGGATGTTGGATGTGACAAGATGGCGGTAAAATGTGAGTATTTGTGTATGCATGTTACGTATACATGGATGGGATCGTTAAATAAAACTATAAAATGGAGACTCAACGTTTAGTCATGGGCTTATGGTGCTTCCTAAAGATTTTTATTCCTTCATTTATTACTGATATATATATATATATATATATATATATATATATATATATATATATATCAGCTCGAATGGACTAACGACGTGCCATTTTCTACGCTTCTACGTATCGTGCTGTAAGTGCTCGTTTCCTTTTTCAACCTTGCATTTCTTTTTAATCTACCTTTTGATCAGGACCCAATTTGCTACTCGAAATTCCAAAAGTTTCACGTTGTTTTTTCTCGACTAATTTGTGAGGTTAATTCTCGCAGTTGTTTTTGTCTCTTTTTTCTTCCCCTCCATATACCTATTCTTTATCCTTTCCATCGTCTCGCTTCTCAGCTGCCATAAGTCACTAGGCCTCGTTTCCACGGTGCGTTAACGAGTTTCAAATTATTGCTTACGATCTATAGATCCCTTTTACATATATAGGCACACGCGTTCTTATATTGTTCCGTACATGCAAGCTATATGTAATTGGCCAATAATGGAGACCAATGGGATCCTATCTATTATTGTTCATAAAATAAAAACAGACCATAGATCTTTACGAACCAGAGTGATCTCTCTCGATCTTACCAAGTCGATCGCTACCGGTTTTCTGCTTTTGATCAGTCTCGTGGGACTGTCCGCTCTCGGTTCTGATACGATTGGTCAATTATGGTGAAAGTACTCGTCAATGTGAAATACAAATGAGAATCACTGGTATAGGAGATAGTAAATAAAAAAAAATTAAAATATCCAATAATTTTCGTCGGCTTTGAAAGATCACCATAAAATTGTTAAGCTTTTAGGATCTTGTACCTTAGAAAGATGATGCTACGGATCCTTCGAATCCTGATACGATTCCTTGGAATTTTACCTGGATCCCCTTTTGACGCGTCGAGAATTCATTGCCATTGGCGTAGGTACAGATGTAGGCTCGATAAAAAGAAAAATCCCTAGGCGGGTCTGAATTAGAAGTCCTGAAGAACAAAAATGTCTGACAACATAACGAGGAGAGAAAAAGGATGTTATTCTGGTGAAAAATGATACAGTTACAAGTAAGCTAGGTTTTCTTTTTTCAATGTTACTTAGGAATTTTGCACATTCAAGATTTTTTAATGTTTGTAAAAAATTTTTATTCTTCATACAACTCCGAGTCTTACGGGCATAGGATACACGCCTATGTCTTTGAAAGCAGGCTATCCGAAACCTCCATAATTATAGACTCCGTGGCACGAGACGGGCACGGCCTTCCTTTCCACTGAATATTTTTTTTCACTTTTATTTTTTCCTCTTTAACCGTTCGTCCTTTTTCTTTTCGTCATCCCACACCACGAAGGGACCCCATGCCGTAAGGCGCATTCCCCATGAAACCATGAACGATATTTTATGAAAATAAGTATGTCCACTCCTTGGGATAAAACCACGCAACGGTATTCTACTCGTCTTAATACTCTTCGTCCGCCATCATTAGCATACTATCGATAAAGTCATGAAGTAACTATTTTTACCTCAATCACGAGGAAGTGTCCGCGTAGTTGGCTATCTCAATTCTACAGAGCGAGAAATAAACATCACTCGACAACTTCACGACGTATCTTAATTGTAACTCTGTTAGTGTTCGTAAAAGTATATTTTACTAGGCTGCCCTTTTCTCTCGCCATTACTTATTCCACGGTTTTATAGTGCGATACGCGCGCACTCTGGTATTCGTCACGCGTAACTACGCGTAGGAATGACGGTTACCCGTGAGGTTTGAACGTCTGAATGCGAAAGTGCCTCCAAAAGTGAAGAGAACGATAAATTACACTATCGTAAATGTCGTTGTTGTTGCAGCCTTTGTACTTTTTTCTTCACTGCCACATTCACAACTACGTACATAAAAATGTACGCGAATAGGGAAGCGCGTCGTTCGCCACACTTGAATGCGACTCCGCAGCTGGTGAGTACGGCCGATAAAATCATCGTGGAATGTCGACTAGAGCTAGATTACAGGTCGATTACTTCGGGACGTTGAAGCACGTGAAAAAAGTCCTACTTCGCCTCAGTCTACTCGACCAGCCCTGTTTGTTGTACCCGTGCTGTGTGCATAGCATTGTTATCATCATCGCACACCTAATAGATATATAATATTTCATAGGCTTAACGTGTTTACCTAATAACATATTTTTACAAGCTATAGTAAATGCCTGCCCTCACGAATTTAAACGTAAATCCTATATTACGTAATAATCGAAGCGCGGCAAAAATCGATTTCTTTGAATTTTTTTTTTAAATTTACAATTTCTTCGCAAGTCTAATCTAAGCAAGACACTCTCGCTATCTTATACGTTACTCTCGCCCATAGTACGTAGATACTGCTATACGCGAAACCAACCAAACGTGTTTTCTCTCCGTGAAAGGAAGGGAAGATCCAGCCGTCAGTCACTCAAGCAATGGCGGCATTGTGCAGTCCCATGTACGACGCTAACTTCAGCAAGATCCTAACCAATGATTGCCAGAGGATTATCCTGATTGGCTTCGCTGATCCTACGAAGGATCTTTTCCTTTGTTCCGACGAGATAGGCGAGACCAACGAATTATTATCGGGATGATGATCAGTCCCTAACCTAACCTAACCTAACTTTAAGGTAAGATAACATTAACGTACCTAGACGATTATTGTTCGATGGGATCGCCTATAGGTACCTCCGTTGATAAAAGCGATTCCTTTAATATCGAGTCTCTTCCAAGTATCATCAATCCTTATTTTTTTTACCGGAATCGAAAATTCTTCTTTTCTTCCTTTTATTTCCTTAAGCCTTTAATGCGACTGAACTCCTTAAGGACGATCGGTGGTATCATCGTCCTGCCTCACGTACGTCGGGGCATATAACTCGATTTCGCAGAGGGCAAATTATCTCGTTAGGGAAGAACTCGACAATAAAAAAGAAAGAAAATGGCTGCTTGATTAAAAGCCACCCCGAGAAAAGTTATTCTTCGATATATACTGCTTACATGTCGGGTTTCTGGTGTACTTATCTTTTACAGAGCTATGATATCAGGACACTGTAATTACACGATAATTATCGGACTGGATTTTATTAATCCCCGTAATACCATCAACGTATAGTTTCTAACATGCAATACCTTTTTGTCCTCGGTATTGTATATATAATTAGAATGTGTTTAGATCTGCCATATATAACTGCTATAAACTTCGCTAATGGCAGACACTTTAAATATATGGATTACAGCGTTAAAATCATTTTGCAGCCACCGTAGGTAATCGTAAATAAGATGATACGTAATTCTCTTTTGAGTTAAGTGAAACAAGGTCAAAAAGTAAAATACTACATTTTACTCACACTATCGGCGGCGTTTACGTCCACTCCGCGCTGAATCAAAATTTCGCAGCATACCACGTGACCACCGGCAGCAGCCAATAGAAGAGGACTACGAGCGTGCTGTGTGAAATAAAAAAAAATTTACCAAAAGGAATTGTCAAAAATATTTTTTCCAAATATCATTGAATTTTCGGATTTCGTTAATCCTATATATACATATATACACAAGATATACATAGCTATATAAATATTGTATAATACATACAGTATATAATTCACTATGAGAAAATTATCTGTCGACTATCACGTGTCAATTAGTATAATTAAAAGGCATCGACTGGTCAGACTTGTAAAACACAAAATCAAAACGTCCATCGTTACTACGAGCATATACGATGGGTCCTCCGTCAGTACCAAGTTTAATTTGTATCCGGAGGTAATGTAAAAGAAGTTCCCTAAAAAATTTTAAATAGTCAGAAGCCACTAATGAAAGTTATGGAAAACCAGCGGGAAGGATACCATGAGATCGTTATGGCATGTACGGTGATGACGTTGACTGATGATGTGTGGACAACCCTCGTGATTTTGTAAATGACGGAAAAGGTTGCTGAGGTAGTGGAAAACGTGTAAGGGGAAAAACAAAAAACCCGTTAGGCGTTCTCGGAAGGATTTTTGTAATTTGGACTTTTTTATTTTTATTTACTAATTTTCCACGACGAGCTTTATCATGGGATCAAAAAGTTTAATATGCGTGATAGGTAACTGGCCAGGTAGCTGGTCTAGCTGGCTACTAGTTGGCCAAGGAAGCCAGTTTTGCTAGGGACGTGAAGCAAATGGCGGACCAGCGAGTAATCAATTGAAGCAAGGTAATTAATTCGAGGAATAATTGTAACGAATGCTCGTATAATTGAGGCCCATTACCTCTAGGGGGTTTAATCCTTCTTTCTGCTACTCTCTTTCTGCTTTAACTTTACAATCTGACAAATTGCCATACTCCGTGCTTTAGTTATACTCGCGCCTATGTTAATCGAACACAGTTGTCTAATAACGAACTCCATTTTCTCGTCTCATGGGTATATATATATGTATATATGCGCATCGATGCCATGGAAGTAATACGTATATATATGCCATAGACTCGTATGGCAGAGAATGATTTAGGGAAAAAAAAACAGGTAGAAAATAAAATACGAAAGTGTCAAAAGTAAAGAAACAAGAATGAATATTTAATTAAAAGCGTGTGAGTCAATAGTGACGTTTATCCTGGAAATTTACATAAGTCCCGTAATAGAAAGAGACTTTATTCTTTAAGAGTGCCGCCTTCAGGTCCTCGTCGGCATTAAGGTGGACTATTTTCTTTAAGGGCCTTACCGTAAAGCCTGTGTCAGACCAAGAGCGTGGGTAATTCTCCTTCATTAGAATTTGTCGTAAATTAATGGAACCGTATCTACACATGATTATATGAAAACCGCAATATATACATATAATCATTACTTATTACTAATAATGTATAGTTAATTTTATTTAATTTTTTAATTTTTTTTTTTTTTTTCAAATATTTATTTGACTTACCTCATCCGCTAACGGTTTTATGCCGTCGTCCAGGAGGCGTGCGAGACGCACGGCGTCGCCCCGTGCCGACGCCTCGCGCACCTTCTCTGCCATTCCAGCCAGGCATCTGTAATCGTACAAAGCACCGTTCTAAATAATAATATGAATAATCAACGTACCAATAGAATTTACCACGCACACAGTATAAACAAATATATTTCGAGTATAGGTAGCTACCACGAAAGGTAGAGACAAAGAGTAACGTGCAATATATGTAAAATAAAAAAAGGAACGCCGACTGCCATCGTCTTACGTGACGCTCCAGACCGTCTGCATTGCTCATTCATAATGGGGTAAATTAACATAACACCAAAATGTGCGACTAGGAGGGAAGGACGAGGCGTCGTCTTCATTATGGGGTCGGTGACATTTCCCGTAAGAGTAACAATGATACACGGCGCCATTGTCCATGAAAACAATGAATACACTGTCTGCGTACGCGGAGTGAAACATACACCCCTAACCTCACAAGTATCCTCGATGACTATTACTATGCAAATTCAAGATCATACCTTTTATTTATTTTGTCTTTTATTACACGTCGCAAAGTAAAACCTCGTGAAATTTCACCAACCGCGCAGACTCTCAGAGTCGAGTGTAATTTTTTGATGGTTTTGCGAACAACGCACTTCCAAGCGAATCACAGAAACGCATAGGCTGTATAGACTGTGTAGGTTTGTATAAAATATTTTATTTATACCGGACATGCACGTTACGCTACGTTACGATAGGTAAGATTATACGCGAGGACTCTTGATGACTGCCGTAGGTACGTCCTGTCGTCGATTTAATTAAATTCCCTTAGAACCTTGCGAGTATTCGATAAAAATGTTAGACATGAAGCAAAATGAAGGAAATCGAAAAAAAAAAAAAAAGGTCACGACTCATCAAACCAGTTCGAAAAGTCAATAGACCGCAATTCTCTCGTGGAATTTTCTTCTTCAGATATTTTTTACGCATAACCGACGTCTTTGGACGAATGCGGCTTATACATTAACAGGGCCCTAATTACGGGGACTTACATGATGTAAGCACGGGAAATGCCTCCATCCGCGTGCCCGTACATGTCGAGCAGCACCTCAGCTCTAGTTAGGGGCATGTCTGACCTTTATGCTTGACGATGAAAAAGAGAAGAATAGATGGACGAAGCCCGAGTAGAGAAAAAAGAAAAACTATCATGCACGAGCGTCACGCTTTTTCCTGCTGTTCGAGCTTGCCTCTGTTGGTTTTACTATCATGCTGGATTAATTGGTTTACAGAAGGATTATACCATGCGGAACGGAATTAGGAAATTTATTTTTATCCGCGTTCATTCAGGCTCGCGCAGTTTCACTAAGCATTACTTTTATTTAGCTTTATTTATTTCTCTTTATTATATTCTTATTTCACAGTCGTTCCTTCTTTTTCAAAACTTTCTCAACTTCTTGACGCGCAGTCGACGTCTGTCACGGTCATAACGGATTCTCTCCGGATTCTATTGGACTTTCCTTTTTTACGCGCTCGCTCGGCTTCCTTTATTTTTGAGTAACGGCTCGGGTCCCTTTCGTGGCTAAAAAGCTCCACGTGGAATTTATACGGGATCCCGTAACGGGTTTCGTGGAATTTATTTAACACGTATATCTCAATACTAATTGTACGACCGATATCTTTTTTTAATTAACAATTTTTTTTGTCCAACAGTACAATCTGACGATATATTGACAACTGTCAGTCTGCAAAATTTTATAAAATCTATCAACACACATCCCATAAGTAACGTTAGGGGAAAACAAAAATAAACAGTACTCACTAAACAGTTTCATAACACTGCGGAAAAAATATAAGCAACTACAGATCGTCTATAACTTGCAACGTTTCCTCGAGAAATCACACTGGAACCGAGTTGTACGAAAGAAAAAAGCCTATTTAACCAATGGTGGAACTGAAGAATACACGAGAGTCTCGCTCGAAAATTCCAGAGCTTTCGAGAAAAACACGGCAAACGCAGTACTCTACCCAAACTCACAAATATACACAGTCACGTTACACAGCTACGAATTAAATATACACAGGGTATACCAGAACTATATACAGTACATATATAGAGACTTGGTTACACGAGAAAACGAGTATTCAGCGCAGGTAACATCGGTAGTACAAATTCATCGGCAAGAAGTAGTCGCATTATACGTGTCGCACGAGAAAATAGATATACGAGTATACAACTAGAATTCGCAGCATTTACGATTCGCGATTCGCAAAGACGTTCTACAATAAGCCAGGTAGATTACGATGCCATAGGTTTACCAAGCTCTTATATATATATATATGCTATAAGGATATACAGCCTGCTATGCTAAGATGATAATGCACTAAGAATGACTGACCGCTCGGAATGATGACTTTGGTTATCCATGACTTAACTGACGACCCAACCTCATCCGGTTTTCCATCATGCATAAATATAGCATATAGATATATTGCATAGCTGTACACAACACATGACGATTGTTCTGAATAGCTATACGAGCAACGAGAATACAGTAATAGTGGAGTAAGGATGTTTATTTTTAAACTTATAAAAAATTTCTTCTTCAATTCTTTAACGAGGATCACGAAGTTGTGTAATAGATTTAAACCCAACAGTCACGTGACTCGACCACAGTCACGATTTTGTGCCATTTTCTATCCCGTGTAATATTGTGCTATGAGGTTTCGCAAAAGTACGAGTCGAGCGTGTAATTTCACTCTGTTTACTTTATCGATGATCTTGATGCTCCTTAAGTACAGTGTCGGTACGGGTCATTGAGTACGGGGGATGATCGGTACTTACACGATATATTACATATTTCATTTTTTGTATTCAATCACGCGACTGCTATTTTTACTAATTTTTTTTTTCTCAAATCCACATTAAAATTCATGGCTCTGAATTTTCGGCGAGTCTTTTGCAATTGATGAATTTATTTTGTCGCTGCCGTTAAGTAAGGTCTTATGCAATATTGTCAAAGTAAATATATTATTTGACACAACCTACGAGCGTGAGTACTGTACTTGATTTAGCATAAGAAATCATTCTGACGTATATAGATAAATAATAATTATATTTGATATTTCGCAGTGACGTCATTGCTCGCTGTTATCCGTATCGTTATTTGTTTATAGTCACGTAACGTGCATATTTCTCAATATTTTATCGTGATTGCGATTATTTAATGAAAAATTATTTAGATTGTCAAGTCATTCCTTGCATTGTCTTCACGGATCATCGAATCCGTCACGATCCTCGTATAATTATCGGATGGTATAAATCGCCATCTTGACCTCTCCTGTCCGTTCCACGTTCCACGTTCCACGTTTCACGTTACGTGGCAGGATTTCGTGCCGAGCAGAATAAGGATCGGTCACTTCACCGTTACACGATCCCTAAGGATCATCTTCTTAATGATCTCAAGACCCCATTGTCTGAATTCAAAGGGATCGTTATTAATTTTCAGAAACAATAGCCGTATAAGATTCTCTCTTTCTAACCAACGAAACTCTACACTCGTATAATTTCTTCGCGTGGTTCTTTATACTCATGGGTTAACCGTCAAAAGCTTTATTATTCTTTTCTTCGAAGCTGTAACGAGATTGGGATTTTTAAAAATGACCTTCCAATCATGACCGAAGACTTTTGTACTTTGTTCCATTTGAAATAGACGTCTCAATCCAATAAATTCGAGTTCGACTCTTACGTAGCGGGATACGCATTCATGCATGCGTGCACATGCACTAATGCAACGCTTGACCAAGCCGAACGCATAATGTCGCATAAATTGTGCGTAACGGCTCGGAAGAACAACGCCATTCCCCAACCACGTGGAAATTGTCCTGTCCTGTCTGGTCGCCATCCGATTGTAACGTTTCATTCCCGAAGCCCAATTCGGATCTAAATTCAGTCCCAGATTAACATTTGCGTACCTAATAAAGAATTTTCGCTTGGTGCTAGTAAATTCTTCACCTATATATATATATATATATATATGTATATCGGTGTATTAACAAAATAGAATATCTCGCGAGAGAACAATGCTATAGGTTCTGTACGTAAAGCCAGCGACAACAAACGTATCAGCCAACTGATAGGCGGCTGCAGAAGATTGAGTAGCCAATAGAATTTGTCGCATCGCTTAGCTCGGTGTAAAGTCGTACCTTCTTAGAGTTCGCAGAACAGAAGATTTCCACTTTTTCGTTCTTTTCAAGAGTCCCGACCGTCGCGTACAGAGTCGCGAATGCGAGAAAGCAGCCCATGCAGCCTACCAAGCGAACTCTCCATTGAATGGTAAAGCGCCGAAGAAGTTTATGAACTGGTCCGTGCTTCTCTCAGTCGCAATCGTAACGATTCGAGACTTCGCGCCAGCATGTAAATCCACTTGGGAACAGACACCGGGAGAACCAGGGGAATATTAACGTGCCTTGCTGTTAGATTAGATACGAGTAGCTCGCGTTTAAATATACAGCAGATACTGGCTGATAGCCACAATAAAAATTAGCTACCGAGTACCCAAAAAAAATAGCAGACGAACACGCAATTCTGTGATGTATGTATTATTGGATTAATACGTGGGATTATCAGGCATATTTATGTATACCTACATATTGCTTGCCCATTTGATTTCTATGACAGAACCAACTTCAGGTGGTATATTTATACTGAATAACTATGTATATACAGAATACGCGGAGAAACACAGAAGACAGTTTCACGTGTATAATTAAAACGTTATACTTGTTGGCTTATCTTAATATGGCCTCCTTAAATTTTATTACTATACCTCGGTAGCTACGGGGACATGCGACCTATATAGGCTCCATATAAAGTTTAACGGTTTTATGTGAATTTCCAGAAAGTGAAAAAACAACCCAAGGACAGGGAGTCAGTCTGATTTTTCTAATACGTATTTTATTAACTAGATATTTCCGGCATATTTTTCAAACGTACGTTTTACATTAATTATATATTTAATTAGACTCTAATCGATTGGGATTGCTAAAATTCTTGAGTTTTAATTAAATACCACAGTATCCCCTATACGTATAGGCATGCATATATATATATATATAAACATATTCATGTGGCGTATGGGGGTACCTGTTCGTATTCCGTGTAAAAGCTGGCTGGCAAATGCTTTAAGATTACTCAGGCGTTTCCCGTGGGCAGTTGGAGAAGCCTGAAGTTATCATCGAGCGCGTAATGGACCGGAGGGACTCGATGAAATATTTAACTCCGCGGGATAATCATAAATCACAGTTACGCGGCATACAGGTTAACGTACGCAATGCAAATATTTCTCGTTGTGGAATTGACATTTATCATTTCAATATCTATCGTATGAAAACCCAAGGCCATGTTTATATTCTCGTTCGATCGGTATTTTCGTATGTAACATTGGTATTTTGTAGGTTACGAAATTTCTTGGTTTACCAATCGCAATGCTTGGTTCACCGTACATCGTATCGGAGGACATCTTGGATTACTGGGTAGCAGTTCGTGTATCTACGTGAGATTGCTACTGCGTATAACAACGTAGAGGTAAGCGTTTATCTATAGGGGACTGGTCTCGTTTCCTATGGGATCCCATACGAAGTGCAACGATATCCAGTTGCAGTGGTGGCCGATCGGTGTGCATAACGGACCGAGAATAAATCCGATAATATCGTATTCGAATGGACGATGGTAAATTGCATAATCTCGTTGGTGCATCTCGGGCGAGCAGCGTCACGTACGCACTGAGAAGGCAGTTTAGCTTATGTTAGAAGGTAAACCGGTATAGATTTTACTTTTTTTTTTTCTTTTTTACATTATCGAAACTCCGTCTTTCTTCTAGTCGATAATATTTCACTTGGAAACATATTGGAGTCTCGTGGTACAAGTTTCGTTGTGGTTTAATTTATATTTTTAATAACAATTCAAATCTTATATTTTTTATTCATACAAAATATAACACAATTTTGTCTTACGCTTTTATTTTCAAGCACGACTGTACTCTATGCGTATTGAAAATATACAAGAGAATCTATCACGAGATATGGAGACCATCTCGTGCGGTAAGAAGACACTGAGAGGTTACACGAGAAGGACCATGATATTCTCTCGTACAAGTCGCGGGATATAAGACACGTTACGGATGAACTAGACAGGGTAGTTTGATTTTGAAAAATTTTAAAATCTACCGCACGTCTTTTCATACGGATAAATTTTACATGTCTTATTACTCATCTACGTTTCCCTTGGATAATTTAATAGGACGAGTTATTAAATACCATAGAGCTCGCTGATTCGACGTGCTTGTAAATTCCTTCTGGTACCGATAAAAGTGCAGTGTCTAACGTGTCTAGAGAAAAGGAAGACGAACGCATGTAAAAGTGTTATCTCATAGGTAGAATTGATGGGGAGTCTGCCAAAGGGCTGTGGAACATCTCAAGGTAGTGGATGGCATCGGACATGCAAAGTTTGTGTTTCTTATTTATTTTTTGTTATTTTTATTTTTTTTCCTCTTATTTCTCTCTTCTATTCCTACTCCTCCGCATTCTCTTTTTTCTTCACTCAGACACCCTTCGAGCATGTACTTTAGTTCATTTTATCTTGCTCCTCCAACCAGTCACAATATAGCACGGCTCCAGCGCCATGGGTGTTTAATGCTGGCGATACATTCAGACTGGAATAATTTATGGTCGGAGCTCGTTTACACATTTTCACTGTGCAAAAGAGGCCCCGAGAAGATCTCTCCTTAGAAATACAGTTAAAGTATATCGTGGGGCTGATGCGCGAGTGTCTAGTTACTATTTCTTTTTTTCATCAATGATTTATCAGTCTTGCCAGAAAAATTTAAGGCTTTCATACTGACAATAGAGATACGGTAGATTATTTCCCAAAAAAATATTTAATGGCCCATATCAACATAGAATTGGGAATTTTTTTTATATTTAATTTTGGTATGCTATTATACGTATCTACGAAGCGTTGAGAAAATTACATATTTTTTTTTTATCGTTGATCTCTGACCCCTCTCTACACCTCGTTTTATTCACCTGACAAGAACGTTTACAACAATAGCCTCTTCGTAGGAATATACAAGACTCCCAATTACCTGTAATGAGACTATATAACACGGTATTCACCGTGAAAGGCTGCAAGTCAGAAAATGTTGGTAGGTTAAAAAAAAAAGTGATTTCGGAAATACTTCGATTTTTTTGAAAAATTATACAACAAATTTTCCAAGTATTTAACATCGAATATGCACGTGTACAGGTTTTGCTCGCGAGGATCGACATTTTTAAACGTGACTTTCGACACAGCCTCTTCGATGTAATTATTAAATTAATTATCACAGTACTCCGAAGACAGCCAAGCATCCATCTTCCTTTACAACGCAAAGCTTTAAAGAAAAAAGTCCCTAGGCTTAAACTTACTCGTTCTTTATTTGATCTTAGATTAATTCAATTAACCGTACCGTCCGCCGACACTTGGCAAATCGCTGTGAATTTATCACGCGTACTGTTTTCAAGCCTTTCGGTTCTCGTTTATTCGCGTGAATCGCGCCTGCGAAGAGAGAATAGAGAATTTCCGTTGCGCGCGGTGAAAGAAAAGAAAACAAATTAATAAACACACGCAGCGACTCGCTGTCGCTCTAGAGACGCATCATTAATTGCGGTCGCGAGAACGCAGTGCGCTTTTGTTGTACGCGAATAAAATAGAAGACAAAGTATAAGGTAAGGCATACTTTGCTACGAGGTTGGGCAGCCTGATGAAAGAATTTACAGACGTGCGTATACAACGAAAAAACGTTACAAGAATTTCTTGACAAGTTTATCGACGTCTCTCGTACGATTCTGGGCGATACTGCTTATGGATGAAAAAAAATTTGTATAATTCTCTCGTATCTCATAACACCTTTACATGGAAACTAGTTTCATTGACTGAAAATAATTCACTAATAATATTCAGTCACACCGGTAGCGAATTATTCTGGACTTGACGTACATACGTATACTGTCGAGTTTACATGAAACGGCATAAAGTACTACCGTATCTCTAGAGTGTACTTGACACGAGAATATACCGAGTCTCTTGATAGCAGAAAGAAAAGGATTGAAAATTGCCATGAAATAATATAGTATAGTTAGATACAGAGTGATTCGTTAATCAATAAAGGTTGATGATAAATGAAAAGTAAATATGTCCAATGAATTGTTTGTATATTGGAAAATTAGGGACTTATATAGTCAAATTCATAATAAACATACGACTTTGCAGTGTAAACTGTACATGGGATGCAGGTGACTGTGTTACCATATTGGTACCATTAAATATCAATTTCTAAGGTTTAATAATACGATCGTTTATTGAAAACTAGAAGTCTTGGTAAAAATCGGATAAACTGTTGTAGTTAAAGAGTAGTGGACTCTTGGAAATATCGATTAGTGGTATTAATCGTTCGACGAGTGGTTAACGAGCGTTTTATGTATACGCATCTTTATGGCTACGGGGCATATACAAAAGTCCCTTAAATAATAAGCTACAGCATGGAAAAGCCATCACGGTGCCAGGAGCACCATTTTGCACGATATGCACGCCCATTGCGGGTTTTATACGATCCACGTGAGATACGTGTATACTAGTATATACACGTACGTTACGTGCACACTCGTAGATCACGTGCGGGTACACTGTGAAGCCGTCATAAACTGAAATACAACAATTTCGTACGAAGTAAGTGATTCTAAGTTCATCGCAAGTGGATATTTCAAGCCACCCGTTAAATCCAGTAGGAGATGCAAAGCAGTTGTGAGAAGCGGAGGGAGCCACCATGTATAAGGAGGCTGCTATAATTGTTATGGGTTGTAATTGTAAGGATGCCACGTAGAGTATGGAGCTGGTATTATTAAGGCGGCATTACACGGGACTATATTTTATAAAATAATTTTTACAAAATTACCGGCTGCAAATTCAAACTCTATTTCATCTTGTACATACACTCAACGTCCGTCCATGTAGCATTGTTCTTAATTATTAACAATGAATATCTTTGTTCTCAGGAGAATATTCAAAGCGGCTTGAGTCCGTGAGAACTTTGTAAAGACCTGTAGCCAACGCAGGTGACGACGTCCACTCGCGAGATCGGCGTAATTTCAGTGGAGGTAATTTTCCTCCTGGTGATTGGTTGATCGTATGTGTTTTTTTGTTCCTACGGCGATGAAGAGAACCATGGTAGAAGGTATAGAGGGTTTATGGTACAAGATAGTTGTAGTGGCCGCCGCTACTGGCGCTGCCGTCGCTCTCCGTCCTTCCTTCAGTAAACGCAAGTGCAATGCAACGAGTTCGGTAATTATGCATTCGATCTTCCGAACGATTCATGCGTGGAGTGGATCGGATCGGTTCGATCTTTACTTCTTTTTTTATCCTTTATATACCAATTATTTAGTCTTTTTTCTATTTCACCATTCCTTTCCCTTTTCAGTAGCGTCATTACAAGATGTACGCATTTACATAGTACACGTATAGCTATATATATCTAAAAATAAGAGTGTATATTTTTTTGGTATAGTTTAATCCCGACCTGCTTGTATTTATTAGTGCATTTTTCTATCTGACAGAAAAATACACACAATACTTTCCACAGCCGGTATTCGCCATCCTTGCTGTCAATACCTGTCGAATATAATCATACACTGCCAGAAATATGATTGGGAAAGCAATAAGTGTACACTGCGCGCTTTATACACGGTGAGAAGCTAAAACGGTAGTAGTGTCACGAACAAATGGAGACCTTGACTGTATAGTACGGTATGCTAGAGTAGAGTGGCACGTTCGAAAAAGTGAAATCTAAATATCTAAGAGTCGCACAAGACGTACGAGCAGATGGAGTGTAGTGCCTGCGATCGCCACCCAAAGTGAGAGAGAAAACGCGTACACCAATCTCGATGGCAGTGGCCGTGTCGATGGCAGTGGCAGTGGCGATGCCCAGCCAAGAGAGAATGTACGCAGTGGGCTAAAGCCCACCTCTTCGCTGCGTGTTTGCTTAGCACTTTTGGCTCGAGAGGAAACAAGGCGTAGGATGCCTGTCTACCGTGGACTTTACGACTGCTGAATAAATTATCGTACACAAGTAAGGCCTCTTATTTCTTCACTCGGTTTGGGCCTCTTTATATTCTAGATTCCCTCTGTATTGCGCGCCCCTCTCTCTCTCACGCCAAATCTTCGGTTCGTGTGTCACGCATTATTTGAGAAACGCGCGTGGCTCGTAGAATTGGGTCTCTCGCGTGCTGCCATCTTTTCCGTCGATACTAACTATTATTTCTCTAATCTATTTCTATTAATATAACTGCCACTTGCACCGTGATCAAGGATTATGTGGGCTGCCTCCTATAATCCACTCGCCGAAATTATGGTGTTGGTTAACCTATAAATTCTTAACGGTATATTTGAAAATTAACCTACGAACGAAAGAGCCGCCAATCACGATATCTAAGGTTTTTGTTTTTGACTTTTTTTGACACTTCCCCTACGTACGAGACCGCAATTTGTTCCCCACAGTAATATCATTGTTTCAGCGACAAAGAAGTAACGCGAAAGATTGTTCGTCGATACCAAAAACCAATTTCGAACTATTGTTTATCGGGTTCGTACGATCAGCACGTTGCACATTGTGTACTGTAGTAAACCACAAACTACGTGTACGCTTAGGTCCCGGCGTAGCGTTTAAAAAGAAGAAAAGTTGTTCAGTCAGTCGTATAATACGCTTTTTCCTTGTTCGAATAGTTTTATTTTCTCCTTCTTTCTCTTTCATCCCCACTCTCCGATGCATTTAAGCGATACTTGAAAACAGTCGGATCCGCTAACTTATTGACATTACAGTGATCTTTGACTCATTGAATAGTTTCGTAAACACGTATAGAGCTACGGGGACGAAACATCATCGAATTAACATGTAAGATAAGCTACCAGAGTTTAATGGGAAATTGACGGCTGCCCGAGGAACGTTAAGGTAAAGTTGTGCCATCTTCTTGTACAAGCTTTACGTACCAATTAACTCCATGCTAATTGTTTCTGTACAGAATACACTAGCGGTGTCAATATTTATTTGTAGAAGGTACCAAAAGCCTCTTTTTACCACCTATTTTATGGGAATGACTTTGTGGTTTGGATAAGACATAAAAATGTACTGTGGCATTTTGTCTCTTTTTTTCGTCTTCTTCCTTCGTTCGTTGTTGCGGATAAACCGTATAAAGATAGTGCACTTTCCTTTTTTACCTGTTACTCCTAATTATGGGCTGTCCCTATGGTAGAGGGCTGGTGCACACGCGGAAAGTTAGATGGCAGTAGTGCTTAAGCGTAATAATAATTAATGCGAATCATGGAGTAATGGCCGGCGGGTTTCGAGACTAAATCACTCGTCGCTTATAAAAACGTAAACTCGCAATTACGCATTGTGAAGTGGTGCAGGCATTGATTGCGGACCACTTAATTTATTGCGGTCTAAAAGAGTGGCACCGCCCTGTATCTTGACTTCCTTGTGCTTCGCTCAATACCTGTGGAGTACGCGTACTCCGTAGATTGCTGTACATACATTATTTGTATACAAACTATATAGAATTTTTTCACGTCGACTTACACTCAGGTATTTACAATGTTACTTTCATGCATACAAAACATACCCAGTGGAACAAAATAACGTTCGACCGAAATTTCGTACTTTTACGACTCCCCATACACTTTTGGTAAGTTGTTATGCTTTTTCACTCTGTGAATAGGTCATTCTCGAAGTAGGAATATTCTTTCAGACTAAAAACTTTTAAGTGTCGCATACAGTCACGTAATTTGGACTTTTATATCGCATCGAGATTATAACGGTATCGCGCGAAGCGTCTCGTTAGGTAAAGAAATGTCGGAGTCCAGGGAGCAGAAAAAGTCCGAGAAAAAGATACCCAAGACAGCCTCCGGGGTCGACAATAATAAGTAAGACACACGGGAAGTCGACTTCGTTAAAATGCTAGGCCCTTAATTCGAGAGTAAATGAAAGAGAAACAGAGTCAGACAGCGTTTCCTTTGTTCCATTTAAGGAATAATGGTGACAGATAGGAATGATGGTACGTATAGTTTTTTTTTTTTTTTTTTATTATTTCCTAGTTCGTGTATGATAGAAATTTTTTTTTTACTTTTTATCAAAATTTCCTCCGATGGATACTGCTGTGAAGTTAGATGAAAACCAACCTAACCTACCTTCAGAGTAATTGTACCTAGCCAGTCGAAGCACCGCATAACTTAAGTCTAATATGGAAGTTCCAGATTATCATCTAGCAATTTACTGGCTGCGGTTATGTGTCGGGTCGTGTGAAGAACGCAGTAAGATTTGCCGTATTCTTCCTAACGGACTTTCTTTTCGAATTTCCCGGAAGTAGGTAAAACTCAACGATGCGTTGAGTTACGTGAAATTCACTGGAAAAATTCTTCATTGTATACCGTTGTAACAATCGTATTTTGTTCTCATTAATCTTACTCTCGTTTCCGTGTGATAGAATTCGAAAAAAAAAGAATACGATCAAAAGACAACACTGGATGAGGCTTCTGGCACGGCGATTGATCGGGACGTTTCTAGAACGAGATCGAAATTGCGCCAGACGAGACCACCTGATGTGCATTGCTTGAAGTAACCCAGAGCTTGTTGGCTCAAAACGTGACTCATCGAAGATTTATGAGGTTAGAATTTGTCGATCATCGATCACTGAATTGATCTACACTATAACGTTCGAACCTTAGTGGAAAATTATCCAACCCCTACTGTGATTTTTTCCAATAATAATTTTCTACCCGAACTTTTTGTATCCTTTGTACAAGATCATCTGCCGTTGATGTTTCCCGTATAAATTGAGGCATCAGACCTTTTTAATCGAACCGAACCCGTTCTGGTCTCCAATCGCGCGAAACGTATTAACGAAGTCATTGCCAGCTACTTGGCAGCTGTAACATGAAGTCATCATAAGAATTGCTGGCTACTTGTACGCATCGTACAGCAGATCGTACGTTCTTGTAAAAATGAATTTTTGAAATTCTCCTTACAAATACCCAATCCCTTACTCATTTTTGCTCAATGTGCACTGACGCTTCTAAACGTCAATTCCACCTGGTACTGATCATGGAGGACTCCCAAAATTTTTAATATCGTATCTATAGTGTCGATATTGTTTCTTCGACGTTTTTGTTTTCCCTATCTCTTTAAAAAAAAATTTTTTTTAATTTCTACGACGTATCCTACTAATCGGCAAACAACTCTATTGACGTCATCATGGACCACCACTGCTTAGAATAGAGACGGAACCCTCGGGAAATGTCCAAGACGCTAAGACCCGGGACCAGCTGTAGTCACCAGATCAGACCATCATATGTGAGTACCCGGGATTAGGCCCTTCCATGGCTGACCCACCATCCTACCAGGACATCCTACGGACTCTACTCGAAGTCCTAGGATGTGCTCAGTCCTATTCGTCCTACTGCCAAGTCTAGAGCCGTTTCCTATTTTATGTCTGATGGCACTCAACTCTTTCCTATGGTACCGTAGGGTTTGTCTTGTATTATTGCTTAAATCGTATAATAATTTTCCTGTCTAAATCAGGGGTTTGTCCCGCTACCACTGTGGTAATTAAGAGCCCTGTATTCTTTTGTGATCCTGAATTAATTTCTCCCATGTTAAAATTCCTAAATGTGGTTCATTGCCTGATTTCTATCTAGTTTGGTTGTACTAGGACCCCTGGTCCTGTCAGTCGTGAATCTCTAGTCTCCTTGTTTCTCCAAATGTATTAACCTCGTTAACGCTACAAAATTCACCGTCAAACTGACCCGACTCATTTTGTCATGCTTTTAGCTGCTCTTGAGCTCCTATATTTTACTAACCTTCCTTTCTTGCGCATGCTATTTGCCACTATGTGCTTCTCTCGGTATAAGGAAGCTGGCATATGAGTTTTACATGGATTATTTTTAAAAAATATTCTGAAAAAATTTAACGATCTCTGTGCTAGACAAGGAAGTGGTTTCTCGATCGTGGTTCTAGAATATTGAACGTTTAGTCACGGAAACCACGCGTGGTTTATGTCGGCACGCTGTTCTCGGGCGGCCAACGCCCGCCATTGAAGTTCTACGAACAAACATAGCAGCTGTAGGAAAAGAATACGAAGGTTCTCAATGTGTTGTAATATATATATATGCAATGGGGTATTGGTATCCGAATTTGGTAATGATATAATATTATGAAGCTTCTCCGTTTCGTATTGAACAGGCGGTTTTTAGTATTTCCAAATACTTTATGAAAATAAAATTGACAATGTGAATTTTATGATTTTTTGAATTTAAAAAAATAATTTTTTGTGGATTTCCTTCGATCAGATCCTGTTTCATTGTACTTTGAAAAATATGAATTTCCTTTTATAAATTTCTCGAATCCAGAGTGTCACTGGTCCCCGTAGGAAATGGCTGACGCATTATTACTGGCACCAGGTTGCACGGTGGATGCGTATTGAATAAGTATGCGCCTTTAACGCGCGTTCGTGCGTGAGAGGAAACAGAAACGCTTTGGTACGTCGTCTTTCGGGCCGAATGGAGCCCCATATGAATTCACCCAGCAGATTTGAGAATGTCTGAGTCATCGAAGTATATTTACGTTGCATATCGTCGGATACATGTACCATTAGCTATATATGTATATATTATAATAAGTTTTATATGAAAAGTGTATCCAATACATATATAAAAACTTTTGGGCATGACCATCGCATGAAGCATCAGAAATGACCTGATCGGGGGAAAACTTTCTATGCGGAAACGCGTTCTCGCCAAACGGAACCGGAAGCGGAAATAATTAGATTCGAGCTGCGATGCATGGTTGCTTATGAAAAAATGGAATATTTCGCTAAATATAAAATAAAAGAGAGAAAAGTATGAAAATTTATAAGAATACTTAGAAATATCATTTTTTAATCACTGCACTCGATGTGTATTAAGAGAAAATTCTATAACTAGTACGGAATAATACTACGAAAAATGTAGTTAATCTGTTGTTAGTGCGCACCTAGTATAGTTAGTCGAAAACTCTATTAAACAGAACCAGAATAACTGATAGGTTGAAATCGTATGGCGAATCGTCCACCCGTTACATGGCTCGGGTTCCATTAAGAGGCTCGGTTGGGGTTGATCTAATTAGTTTTAATTGACATAGCAGGAGTTCCGGAGACAGTGGCTGACATTGCGAAAAATAAGAAACACTTACCGGTCCTATATGTTACTTGATTCTTGATCTTTCTGCATTTGATCGCCTCCTTAATCCAATGGTACAGTAGAACGTGGTAGGGATATAAAAAGAGAATACTAAATTCCAACGAATATCCTTCGAGAAAATTCTTCACTACACTTTTACACACCACTGGAGCACGACACAGAGACGATGAAAAATGGAATTCGCTAGAAAGGGCACTAGATGGAAATTCTTCTGAGACGTTTCTTGTGCGGGCATCAAATTCATCAGATAATGCAATGGAAAGCATCGAAATCTCTGGACGTTAGACGCGTCGAGTAAATTTTTGTACGTAACATTTTGTAATGTGCAAAAAATATTCTTGTTACTCCGTTTTACTTTTGGCACACCATTTGAAAAATTATTTTTTACACATTGCAACGAATTTCAAACAAACTGTAAAAGCTTTTGACACAATTATCATTTTTTTTTCTCTTTTGGTTTTATTCCTTCACACAAAACTTATTGACATAATTAGCTGTAACTTCATTTGGCACGTGCATACTTGATTTTCATTCATCTGCGATTTTCGTGACCATTCGGAAAAATCCTTTTGAAACACGTATGTCGATACGAACCGTAACGAAAAGACGGTTCTACCGAGACTGATCCATGGATCCTGTAGTGGATCGAGGGATCCCAACGTTCGTGGGACTTGCATGGATCTCTCTCCCCCCTCTACACCTGTTTTTCAGCCTGCCCACCACTCACCAACCCTCTCCACTCTTCTTTAGTACTCTATTTCTTTTTTTATATGTACCCCCTCCAAGCAGGATACTCCCCAAGATCACCCTTCACCGTTTGTGCCCTTTTCCACTTCTTTTGCGCCATATCTTTCTAGCCACTATGTATCCCGGCAGCACGATAATACCTTTTTGTCTAATTATACGTCCTGGCAATTATTCTTTGTTCTTTATGTTAGTTTTT